GGCGGTGGATGAAAACCAGCTGGCTCCAGCTGGCTTCGAGCTCGCCCCTAGGCTTTCCCTATAAAAGGGAAACCCCTTTCGCGATCTGAGGCTGGAACGAGCAAGGAGCGGAGCAGAAGAAAAAAAATAGCGGCGGCTTTTTTTGGGTTTCTTTCTGCGATTTGGGTTTCCCCTTTTGTCCTCTTCTCATTAATTGGTGAAAAAGGAGTTGGTGTATTTATTGGGGAGTTTGAGTTTTTTTAAGAGAGAGTTTGAACAGTGTTTTATATATTAAAACACTGTTATTTGATTGAGAGATCTCAAGCTTGAGATCTTCTCTCTTAATTTGTAATTTCTTGTGGAATAATAAGAAATTATTTGTGCCGCTCCCGTGGACGTAGGCGAATTGCCGAACCACGTAAAATATCTGTGTTTGTGATTTGCTTGTCATTATTTGTTGGATTGTACTCGTGTTGGGTTTGTTAATTTTCTCCCGTGCTCACGGACTCGTTCGGTGTGTGAGCACGCTTCCGCAAAGGCGCGCAACATATTGGAGCAAGAAATATTGAAACGCATTTTAGCAACAAAAAAAAGCCCGCACGCAGATGAGTATTTTTCAATAGTTTATATGTTTTTTGTGTCTTATGTATTCAGAAATTTTGAAAAAGAAGCATTAAAGTATTTTGTAGCAAAAACTATGGAAATGCGTACTTAGCTTTCTTTCTAGTGTTATATTATACACTTTGAGGATTGGTAAGTGCACCCAAAAAAGTTACCATGTATGACGTATCGAACTTCTGTACCAAAAGAAACCTATCACCACCAACAACCCCCCTCCCCCCTTCCCCCAACCCTAAAGAAACATGGGTAGGCGGCAAATTGCATACCCGAATTTGTACCATGGCCTGTTACTTAGGGGGGTTATTGGTTGGGACAAGTTGGAGCTAAGTGAGATAATTGTTCCAATGAAACAATTTTGTCCCTTTGGGATATTTTGAGTGGTGTAAAGTGGGACAATTTAGGATAATAGGACAATTTGAAGATTTGATTTGACAATTTATGTGGGATAATTGATAGTGTGACACCTTATTAAGTATAATATTTATCTATCAATTAAATTTAAATTAATTTACCTAATTGGTTTAGCATATTATTTGGTACGATATTATAATATAATATATTATTTTACTTTATACTAAACTATAATATATTATATTATAATTACTAATTAATTATAACTATATTTAATGTTATTAATTAATATAATATAATATATTATGATAATATGATATATTATATAATAATTGATATAATATACAAACAATATATTTAATATAATATTTCAATAATATAATATTTAATCAAATATTATAATATTTTGTTTAATTCAATTTACTATTATTTAAAATATTAAATTATTATTAACAATATAATATTTTATTTTAGGATAATTAAAATATAATAGAAAATAGTAAACTATTATATAATAAATTATATTATAATATATTTATTATATTAAATATATAAACACTATATTATAATACAATATTTTATATCATAAAAATACTACAATAACATTTTTTATTCTAACTAATAAAATATATACTAACTAATATAAAGTAATATTATAATAATATAATACTAATAGTATAATATATGAAATATTATTAACCAATATGTAATAGTGATATATAATAATGTTATATTAGATAATATTATATAATATTTTATTATCTTACGTTATAATAGAATTTTATAATATAATATAATTAAGATACATTATATATTATAATATAATTAACATATATTAGATAGTTAATAAATTAGTGCTTCAAAATTATTCCACTTTAATCATGATTGTCCCAAAGTTAAGAATGAGGTAATTTTTGGAGGTTTGGACAAAAAATTTGTATAGAGTGTGGATAATTTTGGGAAAAGTGTGGGTAATTGTTCTAATGAAAAGTGTGGGAATAACACCTTAAAGTGAAATCTCAATCCTTTTGTCCCAATGAATAACACCATAAAGTAAAGTCTCAAAAATTATCCCACTTACCCTAAAATTACACCAACCAATAACCCCCCCCCCCCCCCCATGTTTGGTTCCACGTATTTTTCAAAGGAAAAGTAGGAACGTTGCTGGTTCGTGAATGCACAAGTAAATTCCAAACTTTTTCCTTGTTTAACAGCATATCTAATAAGCATGACAACAATAATGTAAATCATCATCAATCCAGTGAAATAATTCATATTCTAGGTAAGCATCAGCGGGGCTGTCTATACTAAGTGGGCTATGCATTATGTGCAGAGAAATGCATTTACTTATATAGAAAGATCCAAGCCAAATGTCCCTGAGAAAAATCTGCTCGAATTTGTCCTACAAGCAGGTTCAGTAAAATAGGAATCAGGTTGTGCAGTTTCTTCATGAAAAGAGAATGTTTAGTTAATTCCGGGTTATAAATTCCAAGACGAAACGAACTCGTTCCAAATTGATTGTCATGCTTTTAAGTTGATTTTAGTAGAGAAACGTCGGTTTCCTGTTTCTTTAGATCTTCGTAGAACATGCATTTTATAGTGAGTAATATAATAGTAATAGTAGTTTATTTGAAACGCTGCATATGCTATTTTTTGTTTCTTATACATCCTCTACCCAGTCCCTGTAGACACCTTTTTTTTCCTTATCCTAATTTTCTCTATCAAGGTGTAATTATTTCTATCAAGTTATGTTATTTGAGTCCATGTGATGTAATTTGCAGGAGCTTGAATCAGATGTGATTTCAGACCATTTAAAATACTTTGAGATGGTATGTCCAAGCATCCCCTTTTGAATATTTTATTTTCTTCACAGCTTGTATTACTCTTTAATAAGGATGACAAGTAGTCTAGTGATCACTAGCATTTCTAATATTTCTTTTGCTAGATCACTTTCGTATACTAGATTATTCCAATTATTGGATTTCATCATATATTATTCTGACAACTGTAATGCTCATAAATTGTCTTCCCAATTACCTCATCACAAACCAAGAACTGCAAGGTTTTCATAAGGCTTCCTGAGTAAAATCATTATATTCAGATTTTTATATTAAGAGATGAAATCTTGTATGCAGCTGAGATCACGGCTGAACATCACAAGGCAGATACCTCAGGAATCAGGAACTAATTATCGTGAGTAGAATTTGCATTGTATGCAGTGTTGAAACTGAGAAGACGCTGTAGACCTGACGTGCATCTTGCTGGCTTGTACAGAAGAGCAAGTGAATATATGTTTTCTTGAAGAGCTCCAGAGATCTCCTCCGCATCCATTTTGTTGATAATCCAACTGACTCCAGCAATACAAGGAATCATATGTACGCAGTAAATAGTGTGTCTATATGGTTTTAGTAAATCATCAGTATTCGGATGTGACAAGTGAGAAATTTTGTAATCACCACAGGGAAAAGGTAATTTTGTTTTGAATTGGATTTCTTAGCAGAAATGAGTGAATGAGGATGAGTTAACTGAGCTTCAACTTGTCTCGTACCGCCTTCGTTGTTGATATGAGTATAGTGTTTATTTTGTCACTGTTATTTATCTTATTCTACTTGTATCATTTCTGAGCCACGACCATGATAGAAATAGAGATTATCTTGATGCGGACTTAAAGGAGATTGATGTAGCTTGAAGATACATCCTCAGAATAGATAAACGTCATGAAGAAGAAAATAGAGAAGTTTGAAGATACATCCTCAGAATTAAGTATCGACTGATACTTTTTTCGGCTTTTCGAGCATAGGGTCAGGCATGGTTTAGAAAAAAACGATAGTACTTTACGAGGTCGTTTCATCACTAGTTATAAGAGATTAGGAATGCTTAAAGGCCCTCATGTTGAAGATGCAGTTTGGTTGTCATCACTCCGTTGGAACTTTTTTTTTTTTTGAACAGAAAAATAGGGTGAGATACCCTATTCATATATATATATATATATCTAAAAGCATCGGAAATACAGATGGATATAGGGGGAAGACTCACTGAAGGCCTATTTGAGGGACTAAGATAAGAGGAGGAAGGCAAGGAGCGGACCTTGTCGTCACCTACCCGACTCTTCTTTGCTTAGTGCCTTAAATCAAGACCCAAACAAAAAAACACAACGAAAGACTGAAAAAACAAGCCATAGAGTAGCACAAACACATCCAAAATACTGGAAACATAACACAATAGACACCAACTGAGTAGCTGACACAAGGGGAGCTACGCCCGCAAAAGGAGATTGGTGAAAAGAAGACTTCTTCATGAAACTGTTGATCAGCCATCCAGTGGAGTGTCAGCTGGCACTTGAGAAATTGTCTCCGAGGACATCTTCGACGTTGAACTTCGCCAGGTCCTGCAGATTTAAGTTGGTGGCAGCCCTACGAGAGCGAGTCGCCACCCTATCACCTTCTGCTCCTGACCAAAACAAAACGAATCTAGCAATATCAGCAGCTATGAGAGAGGGATTAGGAATTACATCTTTGAAAATAAGTTGATTTCTACAATGCCACATTCTCCAACAAAAACTGAGCAACATATATTTCCAAATGGTTTTGATATCATCGCAAGTGAGAGGGTCAGTATGCAAAGATATCAAACCCTCCATGGAGCGAGGCCACCTGGAAATTGGAGCGAGAGGGAGGAGAGAGGACCATACTGCTAAAGCAAAAGAGCAAGAAATGAATAAGTGATCTTGCGTTTCAACATCCTGCGAACAAAAAGGGCAACGAGGATCTCCTGTCCAACCCTTATGGATCAGATTTGCTCTAGTATTGAGTTTGTTCTTGGATATAAGCCAGAATAAAACCTTAACTTTCTGAGGAATGATGGACTTCCAGATGAATTTATGATGGGGAGATTCTATCCCCCCGAAAGTGATGATGGCATATAAGGATTTCACCGTGAAGACTCCAGATGGGTGATAAGGCCAAATTAGACTATCGTGGGAAGTAGAGGTGATAGCCTGGAGAGATTCTAGATGGGCATAGAGCTTAGTGATGTCGCTTTTTTCCACTGCTGAAATACCCCTCCTGAGGATAGGGTGCCATTTCCAACCTGAGGTGCATTGGTAGCCTTGAGATCTTACTGAACAGTTACTAGAGAAAGCCAAGTTGCATGCTGAAGGGAAAAGACTGGTAAGAGAGTTTGCATTGGTCCATTTATCATTCCAAAAACTACATGTCTTACCGTTTCCCACTTGCCATCTCACCAAGCTAAAGAAAGAAGAGTGGATATTATGCAAAACAGAGAAAAATTTGGAGACTGACTTACTTGGTGGATGCACAAAAGGATTGATATTATCTTTAGAATAAAGAGAGAACAAGACTTTACTGATAAGAGAACTTCTGTCGAAGGCTTTCCACAGCCATTTGGAGAGGAGAGCAGTATTGAAAGCGGCAATGTTAATGACCCCCAGGCCTCCTTCGGTTTTGGGCTTACAAACTGTGGACCAGTTAACCAAACATTTGGATTTGGATAGGAGGGCACTTCCATTCCAGATAAGGAATAGGTTATAAACAACAATAATAAGGAATAGGTTATAAAAACTAATTATCTGTTAGGACAAATTTTTAAAATAGACCCTACGATAATTATTATTTGTAAAAATCTATCTATTTACAATTTATTCACCATTTTTGACTTGGTTTCAACCAACTAGTTAATATTGGGTGGAATATAGCGAATAAAACTTCACGAGATTCTAAATCTAGTGTCTAATTAACCAACCTAATCGTGATTAGACTGAGTAATTTAGCGACTAGACGTTACATGATTTGGAATCCTATAAAGTTTTTGAGATTTATTTATCATTTTAAAATTTTATCCTAATCAATTAGTCCACAGGTTTTAGAGGAAAAACCAGCGATGTCTCTAGCGGTCGCCGATAATGTGCCCCACCGCCCACCCTCTGTAAGTCTGTATCAACCGTCTCTGTATAAACAGAGAACCACTCTCTCTCCTCTCTCCATGGCTCGCCCTCTCTCTCGAACCCCAATTCTCAGGCCCCAAACCCTAACCCTAATTCGACTCCCCCCTTCCCGCGCAAAATCGAACCGCGCCGACAACGCTACCTCCATCGAGATCGATCTCGGATCCAGATCCGAAGCCGGAGGCGAGGTCGAGGTCCACTTGGAAGCGAAGCGGATCGAGGATGCGATCCACACCATCTATGCTCAGAGATCCGCGCCCGATTGGCTCCCCTTCGTGCGCTGCTGGTGTGGTTAGAATGATCAGGTCGACGGTGATGGGGGCGTTGACGGAGGAGGAGGCGATATCGTTTGAGACGGTGAGGGGGTGGCCCTCGTCCGCTTACTTTGTTGAAGGTAATTTTTAAGCGGTTTTTGTGAATTGGGGTTTTATTTTCGGAAATTAGTGGGTTTTTTTATTGTAGAAAATTATGGCAGCTTTATGCTTAATATATGCTCATATCAGCTACCAGTTATCCTAAAATAGTTCTAATTAGTTTAATTAAAATTATTTACATCCACCAAGAAAACTTCTAAGTTTCTCAAAGTTTTTTCATAAAAACCAGGTATGACAAGTTGTAAAGATCATGACAGAATCTAATCAGTGATTTGTAGTATGAAATTTTGGAAGAGAACAACTGAAGCAAGGATTAATTGATAAGGGTGTTTCCAAAATTCTTTGTCAGTTGATAAGGATTATACGCGCTTATTATTTAATGGTTTCATACTTCTCTAGATATAGACAGGTCGATAGTGTTGGGGAATTTTAGTCTCCCTGCATACTACTCGGAAGCCAACCCACAATCAATAAGATAGAAAATGATCACAATTAAGAAGAGATAACAATGAAATTTATGTGGATCGATCAACCAACTTCGACCTACATTCATATGACAACAATATGAGAAATATACTATGTATCAGGGAGAACTACAAGAGGAACCACTCAACTCTTGTCTCTCAATCTCTCAACCTTACATACATAATCAACACTCCTATTCTCTCCTAAACCCATTTCTTACAATCTTTTGAACGGACAAAGGCTGTGAAATCCTCTCCTAATGTTGTAAACTTTTATACATACAGAGACTGCGAAACCCTCACCTTTCATACAATATTCTTGAATTAAGATACGCCCTCTGCTAGTCCTAGATTATAAGAATATTCGCTCTCTTCTCTCCTTAGTTTTTTCTCTAATAATAGAAGAATATATATAGGGAAACCAAAACCCTACCCCTAACCAAACTTCCTAATTAGAATAGGATATAAACTCCTAATCATTGTAAGACCCAATCTTCTAGTCATGATAGATTTCTAGCTTTATGTAATTCTCATAAAGTTATACAAAGATTTAAAGACACGATCCTAACAACCTCTACCTTGGGTTTGATTCCCAAGCTACCTCGATAATCTATCATTACCGTCTTGAAACTTTGTTCTCTTGCTAGAGTCTTCTTTTTTTTGTACTTCAATTTGAAGCATCTGTACTCCTAATTAAAACGCCTGTACCCTAACTTAGATTCCCCTATGACCCTCACTTTTATATGCCTTATTGTAGCACCTCCACCTTTCTTGTGTGCATCAAGAGATCTTCGTCACTTCTAGCATTAGAAGCAAATCAACCATGTTTATCCTCCCAGCTTGAGCCTGACAATAGCCTTCCCTCGTTCCACCTGCGTCGCTCGTCGCAAACTATATCGATGCATCTCTCCTACTCCACATTATGAGCTGGATGCCTCTATCTTCTTCATTATTTGGCTTGGATCGAATATGACTGCTCATTCTCCTACAACTCCCTATAAGTCCAATGCCGCCATCTTCATTAACATGTGTGTCACTCATCTGTGACCGCTTGGAAGCTCCACCTAAACTGGTAATATCATCCACGAGGCTACACACCAACCAGCTTATGCTCCTGCGATGACTCCGAATAATTATATATTGAGAACTCTACTGCTAGAATCACTTCTAATTCTTTACGTTAGTTTCATCCATCATATACTTGTTTGTCTTATCTGCCATTAGATTTGTCTCCCCATCACCGTCAGAATTTTTCTATATTTTTTGACCAATATGAGCATAATCTAAAAAATCAGACCCTTTCAATGCGTTCAGAGCACTCCAAAACTTAGAAATTGACTCCTGGATCAACAAATTCCACCTATGATTCATCAATCTACACTCTAATCAACCTCATCCGTTGTATTTTGATCCAGAACACCAAACTTTAATCAAGTCAAACACTGGATCCGACAACTTCATATGATTTCTCCTCTACGTGAACTTCTTTCCCTCACAGGTTACAAGTCTTCACATGGGACTCACCAATAATAATATTCATCAAATTGTTTTTTTCATTTTCATGTGGACCTGACCTTGACTTAAGACCCTCACATAATACCAAACAATGAACACCCAACAAAACACCAAGCACCAAAACCAAATACCGAAAACCTAGCCAATGGCGTGTCGATACCAAAACACCAAACATGAAAATACCACACCGAATTTGATTGTTTCTTTCTTCCTTCAAACGAAGAGAAATCCACATGAACTGAAAGCCTTTGCATTGCTTTTGCCGCCGCATA